TTTGACAGTTTCAGTACTGCCGTCTTAGTGGCAACAACTGCTTGAGGTATTAGACCAGATTTTTTTTTCCTGGCAGCCCTACCCGGTCTAGGAGATGTCAGGGAGAGGATTTAGAATGTTCTTTTTCCAAGCATAGCATATGCTGTTCCATAGGGCCATGATTTTTGCCCATATGTTCTTCCACTGAGCTCCGGGTCCTTCTGTGTGCTCAAGTGTTTTGTCACCATTTGGTACATTGCCTGTCCTGTCCTGCCAAGGTGGACTTAAATACAGTATATCTGACCAAGCAGAGATGGCTACTTTTAAAATGATAATAAAATAATCCTGCTGCTTGACAGAACATCATAGTGCAATCAGCAGAGAGCCAGTTAATGTCTAATTACATACACTTCACCTTGTACAAAAATGGGTGTCAGAGTTTACCTCTGCACAGGTGGGCATAGAAGAGAAATACACACAAGTATTTGTTGTTGTTCATGTCCGACTCTTCGTGACCCCATGGATCAGAGCATGCCAGGCCCTTCTGTCTTCCACTGCCTCCCAGAGTTGGGCCAAAGTCATGTTGGTCGCTTCGATGACACTCTTCGATGACAGTGTCATGCACAAGTATGGACACATTCAATCTCAGCTCTCTTGCCATCTCTACTCATCCTGCCTTTCCAGGCCACTCTTTTTAAGGAGGCTACCAATGCTTTGTATGTTCCTTCAACTGGAAAGCAAGAGAACCGCCACTGCCATGGCTTGTGATGGAAGGATGGATGGGTGGGGGGAAGACACTATGTTCTTAGTTTACTTCAATGGAGCTTCACCCAGGGCAGGAAAGAGGAGACCCACAACCATTTGAAAGGGACACTGCACAGTGTTTTTTTCTGCTCAGCATAATGAAATGATTAAAGCAGCCTTGCCAACCTGCTACGCCTCTCCTGGAAACTTGTGACACCATCAGACGAAAGAAACTAGGGGTGCCCTGAAGGTAATCCTGATCATGTTGAATGATTAAAGAACAAGGAAAGGGGAGCCCCTACGTGGGCCTTGGTGATTAAGACATGCCATTTTAAGTAAAGGAGGATCCCTCCACCTACCCCCCCTCTCCTTTTCTTATTCCTCTGCTGTATCAGCCATTTCAAATCAAGTCCCCCTAAGGCAAAGATCCCACAAGCTGCTGGGCGATCCTTCTCTTCCACTCCCATCCCTTTCCTGCCTGGTGTGGCATCCTGGGTGTCTCACCCACCCCCAACCCCCGCCAGTAGTATTGACTTAGAAATGAAACATTAACGCTGATGGGGATTTTCGCTCGTGAAGCATGTCTCTTGCTTGCTGCCTGCGAATGCCCATTAAGGCACCATTAATTGCATTGATTTATTTGCAGCGGATGGGCAGAAGAATGTTTGCTCTGCTCTCCTCCACTCGGCAAGGTGTTCTTCTGCTGGCAGAATCTCTCTGTGTGCATTGATTTCAGAGATCTCCCAGAAGAAGAATCACCTAACAATCCCCCCCCCATCATGTTCTTCCCTTTAAAGCTGGGATCCAGAGGGCACCCACCTTCTCTCTCACACCCACCCCAAAGTCCGCATTCGATTAAACTCCCCTCCCCGATCGACTCTCTCTCTCTCTCTCTCCCTCTGTCTCTCTCTCGCACACACACACACACACACACACACACACACACACCAGGACTGTGACCGAACGTTCTCAGACGATCGGAATTAGGAGAGCCAGCTCTTCTTACCTGGCTGGGCTCGCCCGCGTCTGTCGTCCTCGGGAGCGAATCTGGCTTCAAAGTTTCTCTCTGTCTGCCTGCTCCCCAGGAGTCGTGGGAGGCGGGCTGCCTGCTGCGATCGCCGGGGCCGCCTGCTCGGCAGTGTAATTAACTAGCCCGCTCCCCTCCCCCCGATCGGGATCTAGTTAATTACACAAGTTCGGTCCAAGAGGAGGGAGTTGGCGGGAGGGGGCGAGAGAAGAGAGAACTAAAGCGAACAGTGGTGACCAAGAACCGGGCAGGCAGACAGACAGACGGACAGACAGAGAGGCTCCTCTCCTCCTGCTCCTCCTCCTGGGGAGGCTGCTGCAAAACCAGCCACGCAACGCCCGCCTGGGCAAGGTGACTCGTCTTTCCCGACTCGCGGCTGGTGGCAGAAGAGCTGAGAAGGACGCGAGCAAGTCTGGGGGGGGGGAAGTAGGGGCGGAGGGAGTCTAGATGGTGCCTTCACTCCAGTTTAATTACTCCGGAGCAGCTCCTCCCCACGGGATAGGAAAGCACCGGGGCAGGTCGGGCGGGGTTTTCAGTGGGAGATACCCCGTTGAGTCCAGATTGAATGAACCGGGCTAGATACGCCGGAGAACTGCCGGGCGCCAGATTCCGCGCGGGGCTTACTTCGAACTCAGCGCTAATATGCGGAAGTTGCGGGCAACAAGAGGGATTTTGCTGGATCAGAGCAAAAGTCCGTCTGTCTGGTCCTTCTGATCCGGTGTTGTCTTCAACAGAGGTCAGGCCGGTGCCTCTGGAAACGGGCCCGAAGGGCGGAAGGTAGAGGAGGCCTCCCTTCGTCTCCTTTAGGGCAAGGATTTGGGGATCGGATATAAGAGCTGATGAGATCTTTAATTCTCAGCACCGCCATTCAGGGTAAAAAAAACAAACAAACACACACACACACACACAACCTCCCAGGCCAAGTACTGTCAAGCCTTAGGGGCTCGGAGGGCAAGGTGCATCTCAGCTCTACTGCGAGGTGCTGAGAACAGGGCGAGGGACCTGCTTTGTGTGGCTCTCGCTCTCCGGAAGGGAACCGCCGAGTGGCTTAAAGGAAACCGACAGGCTTCGCCACTCTACACGAAAACCTCCCAGTTCGTCCCCGCTGGATCTCACACACAAGGATGGAGAGGAGCAATATATTTGGACGAAGGCTGCCGCTATAGCTCTTTCCTCTGCCAATCAGCCCTTCTCTCTCACCCACCACCATGGGTCTCTGGCTGCACTTTATAGCAAATCCAATGCCAACTTTAAATCCATCCATCCATCCATCCATCCATCCATCCATCCATACATACATACATACATACATACATACATACATGCATACATATATACATACATACGTGGGAGGGGGAAGTAAAACACCATGTCTCTCTGAGTCCACCCAGCTTGCTAGTGACAGAAGGGAAAGGAACTTCTCGTTCTTCTGAGTCGTTCCTAACTCAAGAACTACTTCTCAGCAAGACTAAGCACTTAAAGAAGGCTTTCAAAAATGTTCCAGATGCTTGGCATAGATGAAACTTTTTAACAGCCACGACAACCCCGCAAGGTAGGTCAGTACTGTATGAGGAAGGCAGGGAGCCTAAGAGCCATCTCAAAGGCCGTTGAGAGGTGAGGTTGCGCTCAAGGGCGCTCCCAATGTAACAGAGTTCACCAAAAAGGCAAAAGGGTGACCGCCACAGACACGTGTCTGGAAACAAATGTCTGGCAAAAAAAAAAAGGCTCACCGCGGAGTAAGGTTGGGCTGCTGTACTTCCCTGCGGGGTGGGGTGGGGTGGGACTTTCCCCCAAACTGCCCAAACCCAGGGTGGTTTCCTTAGCTTATTGTCTTAGCCCCGAAGCTGTACACGGGCTACTGAAATACAGTGTATCGTGACGAAGGATGCCCTCAGGTGCCTCTCCTGTCTCTGCTGTTCTTCTGCCCTTAAAAACAATGTGGATAAAGGACTCCGCAAGGTAAATAAAGCGGAAGGGGGGGGAGAGGGAGGGAGAGAGACGAGGCGAGCTCCGGAAGATCGCTCCCGCCGGTGACACCAGACAATGAGGCTCCCTGGGCACAATGCGGCGGAGCCAAGAGCGGCACCGCGCAACCCAAGCGCGCCTGATTTTAGTCACCCACACCCCCTTCCAGCCCTCGGGAAAGTCTGGACACTTTCGCCCCAGATGGGCTTGTGGAAGAAAACTGCTCTTGGTTTCCTTTCTTGGACAACTGTAGAAGCCCCTGCTTTGGACTGACTGTGGTTGCCGCTCTCCCCAGCCGCGATTTCCCAATCTTCCTCTCCCCCCCCCTTCCCTTCAAAGACTAGGATCGCGGAAGAGTCTACCAGGGTGGGTGTCTTCCGAAAGAGCTGAGCCTCGAGGATCGGAGACACCCCCACCCCCTCCAGTCCCTCATCATAGGTCTCCAAGAGGTGAACGGTCTCTTTTCTTTCACACAAGGGGGCTACTTTAGAAGATGAGCCCCACCATGGTCCTCAGAACCAACCCTCTCCTTCACGCCCTCTCACAAAACGAGCCATAGAAAGAAATCCAATACGGTCCTCCACGCCAGCCTTCTCCTCAGTTCTCCCATCATCATCACCTCTGGCAGGACAGCCCATAGCAAGAAGAGCACCTCCAGATTGGGGCTGCCCGCACTGTCAGAGCCAAAGCGAGGCGTCAGACCGAACCCAAGGGTGACGCCGGAGAGCGCCCGAGGTCTCAAGCGAGCGAGCCAAGCCGTGAACTTACAAACCACAGAGTGCGCGGCTCCGTGTGTATGTGGGAGCCTGTGCGCCGACGCCAGTCAGAGGCAGTACCAGAGGAGAGGGAGGCGAACCCTTCCCAACACAACGGAGATTTTCCTTCAAAGATCACACAAGCACACCGGAAATTTACTTCGCTCTTTCTGAGCCCTTCTCCCAAGAGAGCCCTCTCCTCCAAAATTTCTGACGTGTTGGGTCTTAGGTAGGGGGGAAAACGTTAAGGAAGGAACGAAAATCTACGACCCAACTGGAGGTCAATCGATAACTGATAAATAAATACAGGCTTTTAAAAAAGAAATCTTTAAAAACAATGCGAAAGATGTTAAGCAGCCCAGCGCTGGATCTGTCCCACCACCCCTGCCTCAGTAATAAACTCCCAAGTCAATTGCCAATTGCTGATCCTTTGGCAGGTTTCTTGGGGCGGCTCACCCCGATATCTCGTAGGGGACGCTCCCCCTACCACGGTCGCAAGCCGTCGAAGGGTTAACCCGGTGGAGACTTACCGGGTCGAATTTCAAGAAGCGAGATGTCTGGGAAGCAAAGGGTTCCAGGAAGCGAGCGGACATCCCATGATAGTTCCCCAGGTTTGGCGGCGCTTCCTCCGAAGGGCGAGGACTAAGGCTCGACGCTGGCGGCGGTGGCGGTAGCGCCGCTGCTGGCGCGGCTGGTCGTGGTCGCGGCGGGACGGCGGGAGGAATGCGCGCAACCCTCGGCCGTGCCTTCCAGGCAGGCAGCCTTCCGGGAATCACAAGCCACCCCGGGGGGAAGCCGCGTGGACGCGGCAGTGCGCAGGAGACAGCGACAGCCCCGCAGAAGCCTCCGGCAAGCCGGGGAAAGGGGATATATTGGGCGGCGGGGAAGCGGGGGGAGTCCGATTACTACTACTAATAATAATGCGAATAACGCGAATCAAAGAGCCCCAGCAGATGGCAGGAAGAGGGAAGGAAGGCAATAGACCACGGCGGTTCAAGGCTGGTCCCTTCAGACGAAGCAGGTGGACGAGGATCGAATCAGCCAGCGAGAAGACTCTGTAGCAAAAGCCCCAAGCACCCCCAACCGAGAGCCGGCGAAGCAGGTTTCACGCTGGAGGAGAGGAGGCGGCGAGCATCCACCGAGAGGACTAGGGAAGGAGGCTGGACTCATCCTGATAGATATAGCGGCGGGTCTGGTTTAGGGAGCTGGGAGGGGGGAGGAGGATCCAATATGAGGAGGAGGGGTGGGAGGAGGGGGTGGGCAGAAAGTCACCCCCACCTCTGGCGGTGGCTGGGTTGTGTACACCCTCCCTGCCACCGGCTTGCCGGCTTGCTCAGAAACGACGACAACAAGAAAGATGTGCCTAATGAGAGGTGATGGGCCCGAGTTGGCGATTAGTAACTCTCTACAAGAGCAGCGACGGTCTCCCTGCTTTTTACCTTGGCCATCGCGACGAGGGCTGTGCATCAGCTGGGAGGGACTAAGGGAACTCGCCCCCACCGCCTGCCCGATCGTGTGTGTGTGTGTGTGTGTGTGTGTGTGTGTGTGTGTGAATAATTCGATCGTTTTATCTTTTTGCGGGTGAATGATCAGCGAATCCCAAGAAGGACAGAGAGCTAAGGTGCGGGTTTGTTATCACAATTTTTTTCGGGAAGAGGGTGTGCAGAGGAGAGAGAGGGGTTGAGAGAGACAGAGCGAACCAAGGGCAACAGTGGCGGGATGCGATGCTGGAGGGGAAGAGTCCCGTTGGACAGGCTGGTGGCTAGGATGACACCACCCTGAGCCCGGGGGAGTGGGTCAGATGCCCCCTGGCGTGGCCCTGGGGAGCGTGGGGAAGGGCGGTGCGAAAGCGCTCCGGGCTCCCGGAATCGGGCAGATCGCCTGCTCTCCCTCCCGCTCCGGATCGCGCAACACGCGCGTGGAGCCGCTCAGTGTGTGTCTTTATATGTGCGATGCTGCCACTCCGGGAAAAGGACCAGCCCGCCGCGTGCCTTCTCCTGCATCTGGCCGGGCGATCTCTCGCTGTTTAGCTATAGGGAGAGCTCACGCCTGCTTTCTGGCTGGAATTCGAGACGGCCCGTCCTCAGTATCCAGGTCTGATGCTCTCGGTTCCCTGGATAGGAAGGGGGGCGCCCTTCCTGCCCTTCCCGATCTTCCCTGCCACAGATGCCGCCCCCCCCCCGGCCTGGCTGGGCGGTCTGATGTCAAGGCAGGAAGGGGTGGGGGACGGCCGGACCCTGGTTAGGTTTCTGCGCGCATCCCCATTGACTCGGAAGTGAAAGCCCCGCCGATTTCAAGGAGAACAACCACGGCGGGGTGTAGATTCGGAAGCACGTGAAGAGGAGTAGCGGGGACTCGCTCTCTGTCTGTCTGTCTGTCTGTCTGTGTGTGTATCTGTGCGCGCGCACACTGTCTCCAACCGTGGACTTGGGGAGGCAATAATAGATGCCATAATCGTGATAAGTGAGTTGATTCTTAAATTGTAAGCGTGTGTGTGTGTGTGTGTGTGTGTATGTGTCTCCTGGTCAGTCGCCCTTAAAAGCAATGAAATTCCTTCCTTCCGCCCCTCCCGTACCCGATTCCTTCTTTTTCTGCTTCTTAGCAAAACCAAATGAAACATCCTTCTTTCTTACCCCTCTTTAATAACGGGAATGGGGGAGGGGGTAGAGTCAATTTCGCTTCTCTTACCATGTATTTCCCCCCCACTGCCCTGCTTCCTTTTTTCTCCAGTGAGCTCTGAGAAGCATGGAAGCGTCTGGCTGAGGGATGCAGCGGCGTGGGATTCCCTGAGCAGACACTTCGCAAGCCTTGGGCTTCCCACACCGTTTTCCAGAGGCGACGGGTCTGTGCACATCGCCTGCCTGAGGAGCCTTTTGGCTTTCACGCCCTCTGAAGTCTACTGCCTGCTCTAAATGCACTCCTTCTCTTCCGCCCCTCTTGCCTTGCCTTGTGCCTGCTGCAGTTCCAGAATACATAATTTTCAGCAAAGGAGAAAACATGACTCTGCAGATTTCCACTCTTTTCATCCAAGTCTGCCTTTTTAAAACCCTTCAGGGAAAGGTACACACACAGAGACACGCACAGAGACACACAAACACAAGGGAGCAAGGACTGGCAATTCATAATCCTGGACATTGTTTGAACCCTCCCAGGCTTTATAGGTATCATGTGTCATTACGTCACCTCTGACTTATGGCAACTCTTGTATGATTTTCAAGAGGTGTGAGATGTTCAAAGAGGGTACCATTGAATGTCCATGGCCAAGCAGGGAACTGAACCCAGGTTTCTGGGGCCACAGTCTGATGATTCTCAATACACTGCACCACACTGGCTTATTTTCCAGCTCCTGCATAACTGAATGAAAATTGGTGGAAGAAATATCAATGATCAAGGATATGCAGATGACTCCATATTATTATCAGGAAGCAGTAATGTCTTGAAATGACTTCTGATGAAAGTGGAAGAAGAAAGTGGAAAAGCAGGACTGCAGTTGAATATTAAAAAACCAAAAAACCAAAACAAAAACAAAACCATGTCTGCCTAAGAATGACAGAACTTTAATGATGACAGAGAGATACTGAAATTGGGAAAGATTTCCTGCATCTTGGTTCAGACATCTATTCCTGCAGCCAGGAAATCAGACAAGTGAGATGTATTCTCGAAGGCTTTCGCGGCCGGGATCTGATGGTTGTTGTGCGTTTTTCGGGTGTTCTGAAGGTTGTTCTTCCTGACGTTTCACCAGTCTCTGTGGTGAAATGTCAGTCTCCAGCATCTTCAGAGGACTGGAGTAGGAACTCTGTCCAAGCTCTGTTGCTGTTTGTTGGATAGTTGAGTATTTATAGCTGTGGGAACAGCGTTTGTCTTTTTTCAGGAGATAGGGTGACCAGTGTTTTTTTGTTGTTGTTGTTGTGATAAGGAGGGAGAGATAATCTGTTACTGTGATTGATGGGTGTTGTTAGCTGGTCTTTTTTGTGCAATGATCCCTGGTCCTTGTGGCTGAGTAGAGTTCATTGACCTTTTATAGGCTGTATTTTTCAATATTGGGAGCCAGGCCATGTTTAGTTTTAGGTCAGCAAAGGACAAAAGGGACCCCCTCACCACTGCAAGAGTATATCGGATACCTTGCAGTTGTGGACAGGTACTGTATATATTGGAACCACAAAATGCAGCATTCACAGCAGAATCAAAGAACATGAGAGACATTGCTGACTAAAATAACCAGAAAAATCAGCAGTAGCTGAACATGCCCTAAAAAAAGCTGGACATGAAATTCTATTTCAAAATACTGAAGTACTGGACAACACCAGCAGTCTGTATGTTAGACTGCTACAGGGAAGCCATTGAAATCCATAAACATCAACAGAATTTCAACAAAAAGGAAGAAGGCCTAAAACTAAACACAGCCTGGCTCCCAATATTGAAAAATACAGCCTGTAAAAGGTCAATGAATTCTACCCAGCCACAAGGACCAGTGATCATTGCACAAAAGAGACCAGCTAACGACACCCATCAATCACAGTAACAGATAATCTCTCCCTCCTTATCACAACAAAAAACACACTGGTCACCCTATCTCCTGAAAAAAGACAAACGCTGTTCCCACAGCTATAAATACTCAACTATCCAACAAACAGCAACAGAGCATGGACAGAGTTCCTACTCCTGTCCTCTGAAGATGCCGGCCACAGAGACTGGCGAAACGTCAGGTAGAACAACCTTCAGAACAAGTCCAAAGAGCCCGAAAAACCCACAACAACCATCAGAGAAGTGAGACCTGGAAAGACAGCTGTGAAGAAACTAGAAAGGTCTTCAAATGCAAGGAAATCAATATGAAGACCATCCATGCTATGCTAGTCCTGATTACTATGCACAAATTGTAATGCTGGACAGTGAAGAAAACCCAAAGGGAAAAAAAATAGTGATTTGTTTGAAATGTGGTGTTAGACGAGAGCATTGTGGGTACCCTGGACTTTGAGAAATCCAGGTAAGGGGTTTTTAAATCAAATTAGGCCAGAACTCTCTTGGGAAGCAAAAATAACACAACTGAGGCTATCGTACTCATGAGAGTAGATCATGAGAGGACAAGGCTCACTGGAAAAAAAAATAGTGCTATGCAAAGTTGAAGGCAAAGGGAAAAAAGGAAGACCAAACAAGAGATGAATTGGTTCAACAAGGGAAATCACAGAGTGAATGATTGCATTGTCATTCATTTGCGGGTCCACCATTGAGTCAGACAAAACTTTACAGCACAAACTGTTGAATGAACATAATTCACAAAGAAGTCTTGTACAGTTCTCCTCCAAACAGCCACACTTCTCAGGTACATATCGATAGGACTGAATCCTAAAATGAAAGGATAAAGGAATCAAAACAAGGGATGGGGGAAAACCCAATGAAAAAGTTAGAGGAGCAAGTTATAAAAAACATAAACATAAAATTAGTAAACAGTAACTACACTATTTCTACCATGGGGAGAATCATGTTGTACCTGCTTGCCACATCTTACAGCTGAGGACCCTGAGGGTGGGGGCAAGTGGAATCCCCAATTCAACCTAAAATGATGGAATACACTGGGATTAAATCTAGACTTTTAAGAACAGAGCATTCAGAGTTCTGGGCCCAAGCAGACAAATCTGAAATATTATTATTATTAAATAAATAATTTTTACCTTGAAAATAAGAACTATCTCAGATGAAAAAAATAAATGAAACACTATTCTCACTCTTCCTTAATAAAATAAATAATTTGCCATTAAATAATTAATGCCTTTTTTTGTCCATAGAATTGTTTCTTGTTGTTCCGACATAATTATGTTCAACTGAACACAATTCCAGTTTTTCTATTTTGATCTGAATTGTAAAATCTCAAATTAGATGTTTGGAATCTCATTCTGAATGTAAAAACTCATCAACATTTGAGAGAGTCAGGCTCTCAGCAGGCACTGGACTTAAATTTCATGTAATGTTGAGTATGATAGTAATGCTATTGCATGTAACTTGACAAGTACTATGAGATACAAACATCATTTCATATCAACTGCCAACTGCTATAAAATGATACATTCTGCTGCATGTCAATCACTGATAACAATGAAGTATGGAACAAATTGTGTATCAGCTACCAAATATTAACTAGTTTAAATTTGTGCTTTGACAGCAGAGGTGAAAAATGCATCGATAAGT